CTCAGATAATGCAGCACAAAGTTCATCAAGGGCTGCAAAAAGCTAGCTATAGTTAACTGGGGTATGTCTGCATGAGCTGTGGTTGTGGTAAGGCCTGCTGTGTAGACATACCCTCAATATACACAAGCAGGTGCTTCTCAACAAGCCAAATTTGGCTCACATACCAAATTCAGAGAGTTTGCCATTTTTCATTTGCATGAAAAAGCTTTCTGCAGTTATCATAGGATATGTGAGCTGCTGCAAAAAACTTCCTCACGTTTCAAGAAAGCATGCCATTAAGTGACCAAGCACTGACAGTTTAGCTCAGCAGTTGGATGACTTTACAGTGCCAAGTGTCTGAAAAATCTGGCGTTGTAAATAAAATGCTTTCATCTCCCTTACTAATCTTTCCACATGGCAAACACAATAAAAACAGGACTTTGTGCTTAGATATCAGAGTGGGTTTAATTTATATCAGATCAATTTAAATTATGTTTTAAATCATGATTTAAATCACTGATCAGGAACCCTTGATTTAATTATTGTGGTCTACAAAAAGTGCATTCTTGTTGTTTGATATCTTATTCATAACTTATAGAAACTTTGCACTTTTACAGAAAGGTAAGGGCTTAACTGTGTGTACAAAAACTTGCAGAGACACGATAGGGCTGATGGGTAGGTAATCAGGTTTGTTCCCTCTCATCTCCATATATTGCTGTCAACAAGGATGCTATCTCTGGAGACACAAACCCAGTCTGAGAACTGAAACTAAGCATCACAGAGATGCTTCATGGGATCTTCTGGACTGAGCACAGAGGCCCATTGCACACAGTGGTTTTCTTTAATCTTTACTGATCTAGAGAGAAGCCGCCAGGAACCCCATAAAATCAGGCCCCTAATATAGTTTATGGCCCGTTATGACCCATTTATAAAACTTTTCTTAAAAGGTTACATGAATATATGGTCTCAATTAGTTTATAATTTGAATTTATAATCCCTATTCCACAATGATATCTTTGAGCTTTAACGGGTGTTAAATTAAAATGACCTTTATATAGGTTTATTTTTAAAAGCACCTTTAAACAATAAAAAACATGATTAAATAAAAAACTATAAAAAAAAATCATATTTTTTAAAATGAAAAATAGTTTATTTTTATACACACTGTTAAATGTGGAGGATCTCTAGGTAATCATTAAACGAACCCTCACAACACTGTCATCAAGGATTATTTTCATATTACATGGAATGTTTTACTCAACATTATGTAAGCGATTAGTACTAGAGTCCCTACTCCCAGTCCTGTGAATTAACCTCTGGCCTAGACTCCCGTTTTCCCTGTCTAACAGGAACTGTCTTGAGTCTTTAGGTATGTGACAAATGAAAGGTCAAAAAATTCAGTCTTCCCAGATGATTTCCTGGACTTTGCTCTGTTTTGCCTGAATGATAGTTATTTATTATCTCAGATACAGAAAAATAAACTTGACACAAATTTCATCATCACGTCTTATTTGTCAGCCGTAAAACAGGTCCCTTGATTCTTTCTACTAACTCGAAGCTAAAACCCTTATGTAATTATTGTACATTCATGCAATATTTGAGTAAAAAACAGAAATACAAATAGAGCTACAAATTCTACAGTAATCTCATTCATACATTAGGCAAATATAGCAATGAACTCTCTTAATGTGCATGCAGTTAATGCAGAAAATTTATCTGCAAAATGTGACCAAGTTATGGCTCTCGCCATTACATTAACATTACAAATCCTTAATTTTGCTGTTAGCACCCAATCCCAGCCCCCTTATATTTAAAGGCTTTATACTGACTTAAGAGTGCTTATTCAAAAATCCACTAACCTACATACCACAAAAACAGGCCTGTTGGAGGGTTTCTAAACAAAACAAACAGACAAAAAAACTTCCTTTAAAGAGCTGACATTTTATATATTTCTGCAAATTGTACAAAAAAGGGTATCTTACGAAGAAGAAAAAAAAGACAGAAACACATGTACAAATATTATGTAAATTTTCACATCTGAATGATGTTCCATATATAAAATATTGGAACATCACTCAGATGTGGAAATGTTCAACTAAACCAGGGTGCAACAACCTATGGCCCCTGAGCTGGGATCTGGCCCACAGAAGGGTGGCCTTCACTACAGGTACTTTCCCAATACTGACACAGCGATGAGCAGAACAAGCATTCTAGCACCCCGAGTGGGTTATTCCAGGCCACAACTGGAAAAGGTTGCCTACCCCTGATTTAAGTTAATGGTCTACCAGACCTCAGATTGACTTATATATCCAAGTTTGCACATAAAAGAGTAACTGTGTCCTATGTTTAACATGTTATTGAAAACAATCCTTAGGTTTTTCATAAAAAAAAAAGGTCAATAACTGTTACCAGTGTATAAAGTATTCCAGGTAAGTGCACAGTTTTATTACAGAATAAAGGCTATGCATTTTCCTGAACCTGACTAGAGACAGGGTATACTAAGTGGTTGTACCTCATTACTAACTAGCCATTCACAAAGGAACAGACTAATTAATCAAACAGCTGTTCACACTTCCTTAGCAGCTACTGTGTCAGTGCTGTATAGCTGTGCTAGCACTATGGCCACAGTTTTGGAGTTGACAGCTGCTAATGAGTTACAAAAATAGAGTACCAAGTACAAGTGCAACAGGCAGTAAAAAGTGTCTAAAAGATGTTACACAAGTTACATACTTAACCAAAATGCAAGTAGACAATATGTATTAGAATCTAAGCCAGAAGCAAAAAACTGGGCTTATATTACATATTTTAGTGAATTTATCCAATATCCATTAACAAAATTTACTGTATTTACATTCTGCAGACTTGTTACCTAAGTCACAAGAGCTACTAGTTGCCATTTTTTCCCATTAGGATGGCTGAAACGGGACTACTACTATAAAAAAAAAAATCATTTTAGGACAAGCAAGTGAATGGTATTGGCTACACAATGCCTGCTAGTTTTCCAAGGGTTGTGTTTGTGATCAGTGTAATTGTAAGCCAGATACACAATCCACGTCATTTTCCAAGTGGCATCTAAATTGAAGCATTTCTCCTCAGAACGTCTACTGATGTTTACAAAGATTTAGAGTCCACCAATTTCTCCTGGGAACTACTACTCCTGTGTAGGCCGTGTGTAGATGAAACAAGAGGCGTGTGTGCACTACACTTTAAAGCAGGCTAAATGCATTTGCACCACTTTAATAGTGTCGCTGTTTGCACGCCTTGGCAGCATATTGTGCATTAATTCCAGCCGCTGCAGGAAATTTGGCGGCATAATGCGCCTTAAATGACTTGGGGCACAGCAAACTAAAACTCCTTTGAGGAGTTTTAGTTTGCTGCCCCTACAGCCGCGGAGTGAGGCACCAGACTCCATGCAGCTCAGGGGCTCTGCAGGAAGCCCTGCAGGCACAGACTGGACCCAAGAAAAGTGGTGAGCCTCTGATCTTTTTTTTTTCTCCACGCGCCCCCCCTTCCAAGCCTGCCTGCCTGCCTGAGCTGCACAGGGGCCTGGTGCTTCTCTCTGTGGCAGCGGTGCCCCCCCCGGACCGCCTGAGCCAGGTGCCTGCGGGCAGGTGCCACCTGGGGGTGGGGCTGCAGCTGCCACAGAGGGAAGCACCAGCCCCCCCCTGCACCCCAGGGACCACTCTGCCTGCCAGCGGCTCACTCTCCCTTCCCTGCTGGAGAGGCAGATAAGTCAGCGGGGTGTGTGCACGACACGGGAGTTTAATCAGCCCTACGCCTCAATTTAGGGCCCCCGTTTCATCTACGCATGCCCGTAGTTAATGAATTTGACCCAAATCTCTGGTCCAGCCCCCTCTGAAGCCAGTGGATTTCTAGAGCTGTGGAGTCATTATGTTAAGAAGTTAATGGAAATCTGCCTCAAACATTTTGTGTAAAGGAACTTTATTGAGAAAATGGGTCAAAGGTGCTTAGTTCCATCAGGAACTGCACTTATGATGAGCTGGAAGCTGTCCAACTTGATTGTGAAAAGTGCTGGTTACTCACCATTAGACAGATTTAACTAGGGAGAAATACAAGAACAGACAATCCCGAAGCTATTCTTCAGGGCAAGGGAGACACTAGTCATAGTCCTTCTCTCAGTTACAAGGACAGGGGAACTCCAACAGGCCTAAGTGCAATCTGAAGTAGGCAACTTCACAGAATTACATTAAGGCCCAAGTCCTTGCATTACCCCCTCCACTCCTGTCCCTGTTTTCATTAGTATTTGTCCCAAGTAACACATCACTATTGGCCCCCAATACTAAAGGAAGCTCAGTTCCCTTGGTGGGCCTGGTCCTGCGATATCTCTGACGTGTTAAAAGTCCCTGCATTACCCCATTAGTCATCAACCTGTTTAAGCGTGGGACCTTTACTTCTTCACGGTGAACTGCAGTGCCTATAAGCCACGTTGTTTTCAGCCTTTATACAAGGCTTGGCTCTGAAGAGGATAGTTCCTGTTGACAGCTCTATAATCAGCACAAAGACATACAACAGGTTTTACCCAAGATGAGGAAGTGAACCAAAGTTCACTGAAGACAAGATTTCAGCAGACTCTGGTGCAGGTGCTCAGCTTGCTTTGACACTTGACCTGCATCTGATGAAGGGAACTGAAGCTCATGAAAACTCAGGCTTTATATATCTACTTTGGTTAGTCTATTAGATGCAAAACTACCCTGTCTTCTACTTGACCTGTAGCCCAGACAGTCCCAGCTGAATTTCAGGTCAACCACATGCCTTGTTATGGGTTTTTCCCGATGACAAGCGTGTCTCTGCCCCGGCTGTGCTGCAGGCCAACCCCATGCTTCCCAATAGGGGCCTTTTTTTCTGCTGGAAAGGGGGGTTCTGAACCCCAGTCAGGCTATAGGTCAACCTCTATAAGGTGTTTTCCTGCTGGAAAGCATTCCCAAGCCCTGGCTGAGTACCAGCTCAGCACCCCCATGCCCCAGCCTACACTGAGGACAAGCAGACGCAGTTCCAGGTACCTTTTAAACCAGTAGATCTCATCAGGGTCGGCGATGCCGTACTCACGCAGCTTCATCACCATGAGGGCGCTCTTCCGGATGGCCACCTCATAGCGCTGGCTGCGCGACAGGAAGTTCAGGTCCTCATGCTGGAATTCGGGGTCATTCAGGACCAGCGCCTCTGCAAGGAGGGGGAGGGGGGAGAGAAGCAGGGGGACCCCGTTACAGCACTCAGGGCTGCCCCAGCCCCCCAGCAGCAGGGGCTGGGGTTGGGGGGGGCATGGGGTCTCCCAGGCCAGTGTCCCCTCCTGCAGTGTGGAGGGGCAGTGGGCAGGGTCCTCAGCAGTGCGGGGAAGGAGGAGGGGGCATGGGGCTGGGCCCTCAGCAGGGTGGGGGGCAGGGGGCGGGGCCGTCAGCAGTGTGGGGGCAGGGGGCAT